AAAACCCCCTAAATTTTGGCGTCCCTGACCCCGCTGTCCCCTCCCCRCCCAGCCCTGCGCGATAACCGCATCCAACTGGAAAGATCCACGCCCAACGAGCTGACCATCAGCATCAGCGACGTGGCGCTGGCCGACGAGGGCGAGTACACCTGCTCCATCTTCACCATGCCCGTGCGGACGGCCAAGGCGCTGGTCACCGTGCTGGGTACGACACGGGGACACGGGGGACATGGATGGGTGGAGAAGGTCGGGAGGAATGGAAATTGTGGTTTTTTGAGCTCAAAATTTGCTCTCCTGAGCTCAAAATCGCCGTTTCTAGGCTCAAAATCAGCTTCCTTGAGCCTAAATTCCAACCCAGGGTGAGGTTTGTGTTGTGGAGAACCTCAGGAGAACCTCAGGAGAACCCAAAATTGCCTTTTCTGACCCCAAAATTTGGACAGCAGATGAAGTTTTGGTACCGGAGAACCTCAGGAGAACCCAAAATCGCCTTTTCTGAGCCCAAAATTGTCTCCCTTGAGCCTAAATTTGGACAGCAGATGAAGTTTTGGTACCGGAGAACCTCAGGAGAGGTTCACCATTCTCAGGAGAGAATCACCATTTCTGAGCTCAAAATCAGGTTCTTTGAGCCCAAATTTGGATAAAAGATGAGGGTTTGGTTCTGGAGAACCTCAGGAGAACTTCAGGAGAACCCAAAATCAACTTTCCTGACCCCAAATTTGGAACTCTGAGTTCTGGAGAACCTCAGGAGAACCCAAAATCATCTTCCCTTACCCCAAATTCCAACCCAGGATGAGGTTTCAGTTCAGGAGAACCTCAGGAGAACCCAAAATTGCCTTTTCTGAGCTCAAAAACGGCTCTCTTGAGCCTAAATTTAGGCAAAAGATGAGGTTTTGGTGCTGGAGAACCTCAGGAGAACCCAAAATCAACTTTCCTGACCCCAAATTTGGAACTCTGAGTTCTGAAGAACCTCAGGAGAACCCAAAATTGCCTTTTCTGAGCTCAAAATCATCTCCCTTGACCCGAAATTTGGATCCCTGCATTCTGGAGAACCTCAGGAGAACCCAAAACCATCTGTCCCTGACTGCCTGGAAACCCCCAAATGTCCCATTTTTTCATTTTTTTGGGTTTTTCCCCCCAGGAATCCCGCAGAAGCCGCAGATGTTCAGCCACGAGCAGCCCATCGATGAGGAGAACCCAAAACCACCTTTCCTAACCCCAAAACTACCTTCCCTAACCCCAAAATCACCTCCCCCAACCCCAAATTTCAACCCTGGGTGAGGTTGGAGGTTTCAACCCTGGAGAACCTCAAGAGAACCCAAAATCACCTTTTCTGACCCCAAATTCTGTCCCTAACCAGATGTAACCCCCCAAAGTCCCATTTTTTAGGGTTTTTTTTTGGTTTTTTTCCTGCCCCTGCCCACCTGTGACCCCTCAAATGTCCCAATTTTTTTTGTTTTTTAGGGGTTTTTTTGTTTTTTTCCCCCAGGAATCCCGCAGAAGCCGCAGATGTTCGGCCACGAGCAGCCCATCGATGAGGAGAACCCAAAACCACTTCCCCGACCCCTCAAATGTCCCACTTTTTAGGTTTTTTTTAGGTTTTTTTCTGCCCCTGACCATGCGTGACCCCTCAAATGTCCCAATTTTGGGTTTTTTCTCCCAGGAATCCCGCAGAAGCCACAGATGTTTGGCCATGAGCAGCCCATCGATGAGGAGACCCCAAAACCACCTCCCCTGACCCCAAAACCACCTTTTCTGACCCCAAATTCTGTTCTGACTGCCCGTGACCCCTCAAATGTCCCAATTTTTGAGGTTTTTTTTGTTTTTTTCCCCCAGGAATCCCGCAGAAGCCGCAGATGTTCGGCCACGAGCAGCCCATCGACGAGGAGAAGGTGGCGCGGCTCTCGTGCCGCTCGTCCGGCAGCAAACCCGCGGCACAGCTGCGCTGGAGGAAGGGCAGCAGGGACATCCCCGGTGGGTGACAGGGACAGGGGACATGGGGACATCCCGGGTGGGTGACACAGGGACAGGGGACATCCCGGGTGAGTGACAGTGACAGGGGGACATGGGGACAGCATGGAGACATCCCGACAGGGTGACACAGGGGACATGGGGACATGGGGACAGCAGGGACATCCCGGGTGGGTGACAGGGACAGGGGACACGGGGACAGCATGGGGGGGTGACACAGGGGACAAGGGGACAGCATGGGGACATCCCGGGTGGGTGACGGTGACATGGGGACAGCATGGGGACACAGCACAGGGACAGCACGGGGACATCCTGGGTGGGTGACAGGGACATCCCGGGGGGGTGACACAGGGACAGGGGGACATGGGGACAGCATGGGGGGGTGACACAGGGGACAAGGGGACAGCATGGGGACATCCCGGGTGGGTGACAGGGACAGGGGACACGGGGACAGCATGGGGGGGTGACACAGGGGACAAGGGGACAGCATGGGGACATCCCGGGTGGGTGACGGTGACATGGGGACAGCATGGGGACACAGCACAGGGACAGCACGGGGACATCCTGGGTGGGTGACAGGGACATCCCGGGGGGGTGACACAGGGACAGGGGGACATGGGGACAGCATGGGGACATCCCGACAGGGTGACACAGGGGACATGGGGACATGGGGACAGCAGGGACATCCCGGGTGGGTGACAGGGACAGGGGACACGGGGACAGCATGGGGGGGTGACACAGGGGACAAGGGGACAGCATGGGGACATCCCGGGTGGGTGACGGTGACATGGGGACAGCACCTGAGTGTCACCTGAATGTCCCCAATGTCCCTGATTGTCATTGTCCCCTCAGAGACTGTCACCGTGGTGGTGGAGGACCCCAACGGGAAGGGTCAGGGTTAGGGTTAGGGTTTTTTTAGGGTTAGGGTTAGGGTTAGGGTTAGGGTTAGGGTTAGGGTTAGGGTTAAGCTAGCATTAGGGTGAGGGTTAGGGTTAGGTTTAGGGTTACGGTTAGGGTTAGGGTTAGGGTTAGGTTTAGGATTAGGGTTAGGGTTATTATTACGGTTAGTTTATATTTAGGGTTTTTTAGGGTTATTTTAGTTTTAGGTTTAGGATTAGGGTGCTGACTGTCCCCTGAATGTCCCCAATGTCATTGTCCCCCAGACTCGGTCACCGAGGTGGTGGAGGGCCCCAACAGGAAGGGTTTGGGTTATGATTAGGTTTAGTTTATGTTTAGGGTTATTTCAGGGTTATTTTAGGATTATTTTAGTTTTAGGTTTAGGGTTAGGGTTAGGGTTAGGGTTAGGGTTAGGGTTATTGTTAGGGTTAGTTTATGTTTAGGGATTTTTAGTATTATTTTAGTTTTAGGTTTAGGATTAGGGTCCTGACTGTCCCCTGAATGTCCCCAATGTCCCCAGACTCTGTGACGGAGGTGGTGGAGGACCCCAACGGGAAGGGTTTGTGTTACGATTAGGTTTAGTTTATGTTTAGGGTTATTTCAGGGTTATTTTAGGATTATTTTAGTTTTAGGGTTAGGGTTAGGGTTAGGGTTAGGGTTAGGATTAGGGTTAGGGTTATTATTAGGGTTAGTTTATGTTTAGGGTTTTTTAGGGTTATTTTAGTTTTAGGGTTAGGATTAGGGTCCTGACTGTTCCCTGAATGTCCCCAATGTCATTGTTCCCCAGACTCGGTCACCGAGGTGGTGGAGGGCCCCAACGGGAAGGGTTTGGGTTACGGTTAGGTTTAGTTTATGTTTAGGGTTATTTCAGGGTTATTTTTAGGGTTATTTTAGTTTAGGGTTAGGATTAGGGTCCTGACTGTCCCCTGAATGTCCCCAATGTCCCCCAGACTCTGTGACGGAGGTGGTGGAGGACCCCAACGGGAAGACGTTCACGGTGACCAGCCGGGTGGAGTTCCGTGTCACCAAGGAGGACAACGAGGCCGAGGTGACGTGCACGGTGGACCACGAGTCCCTGCACAACTCGGAGCGCTCCACCACGCACCGCCTGCAGGTCCACTGTACGTCACACGGGATTTGGGGTTTTGGGGTCGGGTTTGGGGTGGGGTTTGGGGTGACAGGGGCAGATTTTAGGGTGTTTGGAATGGGATTTTAGTATTTAGGTTGGGCTTTGGGGTGGGGTTTGGGGTTTTAGGGTGTCTGGGGTATCTGGGCACTGATTTTGGGGTGTTTAGGGTGAGTTTGGAGTGTTTGGGGTGGGGTTTGGGGTGTGTTTTGGGGTTTTGGGGTCGGTTTTGGGGTTTGGGATCGGATTTGGGGTTTGGGGCAGGATTTGGGGTTTTAGGATGGGATTTGGGGTTTTGGGCAGATTTTGGGGTGTCTGGGATGGGATTTGGGGTGTTTGGCGTGGGGTTTGGGGTGTTAGGGCAGATTTTTAGGATGTTTGGGGTGGGATTTGGGGTGTCTGGGATGGGCTTTGGGGTTTTGGGGTAAGATTTGGGGTTTGGGGTTGGTTTTGGGGTGGGATTTTGGGTTTGGGGTGGGATTGGGGTATTGGGGTTGGGTTTGGGGATGTTTGGTAACAGATTTTACGGTTTTGGGGCAGATTTTGGGGTTTTGGGGTGTGGTTTGGGGTGAGATTTTGGGTTTTGGGGTGAGATTTGGAGTGGGATTTGGGCTTTTGGGGTGGGGTTTGGGGTGGGGTTTGGGGTTTTGGGGTCGGTTTTGGGGTTTTGGGATGGGATTTCTGGTGGGTTTGGGGTTTGGGGTGGGATTTGGGGTTTGGGGTGTTTGGGGTGGATTTAAGAGTGTTTGGGGTAGGATTTTAGTATTTAGGTTGGGCTTTGGGGTGGGATTTGGGGTTGGGTTTGGGGTTTTGGGGTGTCTGGGATGGGATTTGGGGTGGGTTTGGGGTGTTTGGGGCACATTTTAGGGTGTTTGGGATGAGTTTGGGGTGGGATTTGGGGTGTCATGGGCAGATTTTAGGGTGTTTGGGACAGGATTTGGGGTCTCTGGGGTGGGATTTAGTGTATGGGGTGGGATTTGGGGTTTTGGGGTGGTATTGGGGTGTCTGGGATGGATTTGGGATGTCAGGGGCAGATTTTAGAGTGTTTGGGGTGGCATTTTGGGGTGCCAGTACAGGATTTGGGGGTTTTGGGCACATTTGGGGTTTTTTGTGCCCATTTTGGGTTTTTTGGACCCATTTTGGGTTTTTGGGGCAGATTTTGGGGTTTTTTGTGCCCATTTGGGGGTTTCTGGGCCCATTTTGGGTTTTTGGACCCATTTTTGGGGTTTTTTGTGCCCATTTTGGGTTTTGGGCCCATTTTGGGGTTTCTGTGCCCATTTTGGGGTTTTTAAGGCCATTTTTGGGGGTTTCTGGGCCCGTTTTGGGGTGCTGACCCCCCGTCCCTCCCCAGACAAGCCGACAGCGCGGATCGAGCCGCACCCGCAGTACCCGCGCGAGGGAGAGAAACTGCAGCTGCAGTGCGACGGACAGGGAAACCCCATGTGAGCCTTCATCATCCTCATCATCCTCATCTTCATCATCCTCATCATCCCTATCCCCCTTATCCCAGGGAAACCCCATGTGAGCCTTCATCCCCTCCCTCATCATCATCATCATCCCTATCCCGGGGCAACCCCATGTGAGCCTTCATCCCTCATCATCATCCTCATCCTTATCCCAGGGAAACCCCATGTGAGCCTTCATCATCCTCACCCTCATCATCCTCATCATCCTCATCTTCATCCTCATCATCCTCATCATCCTCATCATCCTCATCCTTATCTTAGGGCAACCCCATGTGAGCCTTCATCTCCTTCATCCCTCATCATCATCATCCTCATCATCCTCATCCTCCTTATCCCAGGGAAACCCCATGTGAGCCTTCATCCCCTCCCTCATCATCCTCACCCTCATCATCATCATCATCATCATCCTCATCTTCATCTTCCTCATCCTCACCCTGGGGAAACCCCATGTGAGCCATCATCCCTCACCCTCATCATCCTCATCCTCATCATCCCCATCCCCTTCTTCATCATCTTCATCCTCATCCTTATCCTGGGGCAACCCCATGTGAGCCTTCATCCCCTTCTTCATAATCTTCATCTTCATCATCCTCATCATCATCCTGCTCCCAGGGCAACCCCATGTGAGCCTTCATCCCCTACCCTCATCATCCTCATCACTGTTCCCCAATGTCCCTTGGTGTCCCCAATGTCCCCAACCGTGTCCCCAGTGCCCCCAATTTCAGTGTCCCCAGTGTCCCCTGGTGTCCCTGACCCCAATCCCGGGGATGTCCCCAATGTCCCTGATGTCCCCAATGTCCCCAGGTGTCCCTGGTGTCCTTGACCCCGATTTCAGAAGATCCCAGTGTCGCCTGACCCCATCCCTGCTATCCCTGACCCCAATTTCAGTGTCCCCAGGTGTCCCTAACCGTGTCCCCAATGTCCCCAACTGTGTCCCCAATGTCCCCAATCGTGTCCCCACAGCCCCCAGGAGTTCCTGTGGGAGAAGGAAGGCGCCGAGGCCCTGCTCCAGCTGAGCTCCGACAGTGTCCCCAATGTCCCCACTGTCCCCAATGTCCCCACTGTCCCCAATGTCCCCAATGTCCCCAGTGTCCCCAATGTCCCCAATGTCCCCAATCCCGAGGATGTCCCCAATGGTGTCCCCAATGTCCCTGCAGTCCCCAGGAGTTCCTGTGGGAGAAGGAAGGCGCCGAGGCCCCGCTCCAGCTGAGCTCCGACAGCGTCCTCATCTTCCCGTTCCTCAACAAGAGTGACAGTGGCACCTACGTGTGCACGGCCACCAGCTCCATGGGCAGCGTGGTGGCCAAGTACAACCTGGACGTCAGCGGTGAGTGGCCGGAGTGGCCGCAGAGGGTCAGTGTGACCGGTGGGAGCGGGGAATG